TATATATATATATATATATATATATATATATATATATATCAGTGTTTGTTTGTAACATGCAACATGTGTGTTTGAAAAACATAAGATAGCTAAAAGGTGTTTGTTTGAGGTTGAACTTACCAAAATTGTTGATAATCATTGGGCCATAACTTTTTTACATCGTGAGAGGGAGAACCGATGATGGTGAATCCTTCGTGCCACATGAACTTGGAGAAGAAAGGTGAAATCCTTGGGATGCCATATCCAGTGGCACCACCGGGGGATCTGAGAGCCTTCATCTTTTGTTGAGGTGGGAGAGAGAAGAGGCGTTGGAGTTCATCTTCCGCACCTTGAATGACAGCAAAGGGTATTCCATGATTCTTCAAATGGAAGCCACCCCATTTCTCACATGCAAGGATTATGAGTTTCTTGGCATTGGGATCCATGAGGTCTATGGTGGGCATGGGTGATGATCCAGCATCTTTCAATGAGAAAACATCATCATCATCAATGGATTGAGACCATGTGTGGGAATCGGGTAAACTCAAGGAAGAAGAAAAGTCTATGGGGATGATATCACCAAGGGTAAGAGGGTGTTCTTGGTATGCTTCATTCAGAGTACTCATTTTCATTGAGCTCAAACTCCAAATCAGATCAGATAGTAGAGATGTAGAAGGATATATATATATATATATATATAAAAAGGCACACAAAGTGCCCGATCTAGACAAGTTTAGGGTATTTCAAATTTTAATTCACAAATATTCTTTTAAATAAATTTTGCATTAATAATATGTTAGAGTTTTAAGTGATTAAGTCATTAAAACTATTATTCTTTGGAATTGCAAATTTAATTCTAAATTTTACATAAAGTAAAAATGATAAAATTAAATATTTGATAACTTATATACTCGTTGTCTTAATATTTTGAGTTAAAAATAACGTTATATGAGTTGAATTTAGATCTAATCAATATTAGATCTTTCTAATGAATTCTCTCGTAAACAACGATGAAGCATAGAAGAGTATAAAAGAGCTTTGGCTTCCCAATTCTTTTTTATGTGTATAAATTAGTATATTTTTAGTTTTAGTATATATTTTATGTATTTCACACTCTAAACAAAATTTATACATCTATTATGGCACTTTTTATATATTTTTTTTAAGATCTAACACTTCTCCTTGATAAACTCATGACCTATATGGCTTAATGATGAAAAAGTATTCAAAACATTTTAGAAGAAATTCTATGTAGATAAAAGTTAAAATATAGTATATAAAGTAGAAACAAACTTTAAGTTTAAACATATAACTATTGTAATCATGAAGTAGATTCTAATCTCTTCAGTTTTTATATTGGATGTCTTGTGAAAAAATGTATTATCGTATCGAACAAAACTAAATTATCTATAGGTAGAGTTAAATTTTATTTTTTGTAAATTAACTTTGAAATTAAAATAGAATGTGTTAATATTATTTTATGTATTAAAATAGAATTATTAGGTTAAAATGGTTAGGTATAAAAGGGGCGGGTATTGGATTTCTTGGGAGGTGTTCTGGTATTTGGGAAAAAATGAAAGAAAATGACAAAGGAAAGAACAAAGTATTAATAGAGATTTTAGCATCCCAAAGTCTTAAATATTATAAAAAGGAAGAGCCAATGTCTGGGCTTTTCCTCTGCAATTTACAGAACGAAAAGCTATGATTTTCAAAGTTTATCCTTTTGAATGAGTCAAAGAATGAAAAGAAATAAGTTCATCGATAACTTCTTACTTGAAAAAAAAATCAGAAAATATTTCAACGTAAAAATTATTTTTATTTTCTTGTTATATCATATATTTTGTTTTCAACAACTTAAAAAATTGTATAGAACGGTCCATCCCGTCTGTTTCTTGCCTCTCGAGAAACTAAATAAATAAGTGGACCATCAATGTTTATCTATTGCATTAATTAATTTTACATGAGTAAGAGTATTATAATTAATAATAAGTTAATGACTATGATTAAAAAAAAGTATAACATTTTTATCATATCCTTATCTCTACCTATTTGATATACTTTTATCTGTGCAGTCAGGTATTATATTTTTACTATTTTATTATCAATTAATTAAAAAGACCTATTATGTTTTCTAATACTAAATGTTTAGAAATAAATTATAATTTTATACATTTTAAATTATAATATGAAATAAAATTTCATAATAACTAAAATATTTATTAATTTTACAAATATTAATGAAATGAGATTAATAAAATTAAAAAAACTATAATAAAAATTTAAAACACTGATATAAATGAAATTACACAAAAAAAAAAGTAAACTAATAATAATTAAAATTTAACATACATTTTTATTTTTTTGAACTTTTAAAGTATTTTTAAGATATAAGTAAAATTCATTAATAAAGAATAAATCAAACAATTAAAAGAGATAGAAAAAATATATAATGAAAGAAAAAAGAAAATAATAAAACTAAATACTAAGATAATATATATATTAATTTAAACATAACAAGTTAAATATTAGAATGAAGAAAAGACAAATAAATATATACATATATTTATCATTATCATACATAATTGAAAAAATTAATCAAATATTATTCATATTTATATCCATATCCAATAAAAAATATAGAAATTATCTGTCTAAAACACAAACGAGGATGGATAATATCTAAATTATTTGTCATTACTGATTCCATATGTATGCTAACTTTTAACTTTCTACCAATCAAAGTAAATAATTTCTACCACGAATCTCATTTTACAGTCAATAAAAAAACTTATAATTTCTAAGCATCACAATCTTTCATTGATAGTTTTAGTGGTTCTTTGAGTTGTTCCTGTTACATTGTCCTGATCTGATAGGAACTCAAACTCATCTTCATCTGTGAAGGTACCTCTATATTAGTTCCATGAGGAACATAACTCATCTATTTCTTACCAATTGAATGAGAGTTTTGTAGCCCATTTGAATCAATCACGAGACTATATTCTCTTAATAAAGTTTTTAATATTTGTATTAGTTTTTTGTATTTTTTTCATAAATAAAAATGATTTTTTTAAGAAAACAAAAACAACCATGGTGAGAAGTAATAACAAATACATGAGTATTCTTCACTGTGCAGGATCTTACCAACGTTCCATACTATTAAAATTAAACATAAGCTAATTAGTGAACCATTCCAACAATTTGTATTTATTTTGGAATTCCACAGGAAGTGATGCAACCGATGTTGATATTACCAAATTTATTAGTCTTACTAAAAAGCCAGAACATGCAGGTAATAAAGATAAATTATGAAATATGTTTCAAGTGCTAATGAAAGAGAGGGACTCTCCAAATTTCTGAGCCTTGATCCCAATAAACTCCTTCACAGTGACATCACGAAAACGAGCAACGGAGTTAAGATCCCCGGTCACCGACGGAGACACCACGTAATCTGTGGGTGGAGAATAGAAATAAGCAATGGAGTAACGTTCGTCCTTCTCATTCGGCACTACGCGATGAGTTGGGCTGCAGAAGCGTGCATTGGACATGATGCGCAGAAAATCGCCTGTGTGAACGATCAGAGTGTTGGGGTGAGGGTGCACAGGGATCCACTTTCCTTCCTTCAAGATTTGAAGACCACTCGATTTAGCTTTAAGAATTGTGAAGATGGAAGTGTCTGTGTGAGGAGCCAAACCCATGGCCCGGTTCGGTTCGGGACAAGTTGGGTAGAAATTCAACTGCAGAGCTGCACTCACGTCGCTTGCACCAACCCACTTCCTTTTTTTCTCCGAAATCTCCAACACCTCCATCATCATTTCTGCCAGTCTATCTGCTATTCTCCTCATTTGCTTCTCATACTTCTCCATCGTCTCACTGCACAGTATCATATATATATATATATATATATGTATATCAGTGTTTGTTTGTAATCAACATGCAACATGTGTGTTTGAAAAACATAACATAGTTTAACGTTGGATGGTTGAACTTACCAGAATTGTTGATAATCATCGGGCCATAACTTTTTTGCATCGTGAGAGGGAGAACCGATGATGGTGAAACCTTCGTTCCACATGGACTTGGAGAAGAAAGGTGAAATCCTTGCGACGCCATATCCAGTGGCACCAGCGGGGGATCTGAGAGCCTTCATCTTTTGCTCAGTTGGCAGATAGAAGAGGCGATGGAGTTGTTGTTCGGCCCCTTGAGAAACATCTAAGGGTATGCCATGATTCTTCAAATGGAAGGCACCCCAGTTCTCACATGCAAGGGCTATGAGTTTCTTGGCATTGGGATCCATCAGGTCTATGATGGGAATGGATGATGATGCAGGATCGTTCAATGAGAAATCACCATCATCATCGTCAATGGGTTGAGACCATGTGTGGGAATCGGGTAAACTCGGAGAAGAAGAAAAGTCTAATGGGATGATATTATCAAGGGTAAGAGTGTGTGCTTCGTATGCTTCGTTCAGAGTACTCATTTTCGTTAAGCTCGTATGCAGAGATGTAGAAAGATACATAGATATATATAGGCACACAAAGTTGCCGGTTGGGACTAGTTTGGCTCTTGTTATTTTACAAAGACGAACATGACACTGTTACATTCATTTCATACTTTATAAAAGTATAAATTTTTATATTAAAAGAAAATAATGTGAAATTAATGTAAAAAATTTATGTATATCAAATAATAATTTTTCTATTACAAAACAAAAGACAAAATCGGATTCAAATTTAAAAGGTAAATTCAAATTATAGGATTTTTATCAAGATAAATTTTACCTTATTCGGTTGCATTATCTCAATTTTGGTATTTGGGAAAATATTTATGAAAATGACAAAGGAAGGAACAAAGTATTGGTAGAGATTTTAGCATCCCAAAGTCTTAAACATTATAAAACGGAAAGCCAATGTCTGGGTTGTCCTCTGCAATTTACAGAACGAAAAGCCATTAATTTTCAAGTTTATCCTTTTAAATATGAGTGAACAGATAGAAAGAAATAAGTTTCATTGATAATTTCTTAATTACTTCAATAAAAAAAATTTAGTATTTTGGACTTAAAAGTATTTTTATTTTCTGTTATATCAGATACTTGGTTTTTAAAAACTTCAGAAAATGGTCGCTTGCGTCTGTTTCTTGCTCTTGGGAAACAAAATAAATAAGTGGTGGACCCATCAATGCTTAACTCTTGTATTAGTTTTACTATGCGTCAGATTCTTATAATTACCGATAAGTTAGTTACTACAGCGTGTGCATGATTGTGTAAAAAAATAACGCAGAAAATTGGTGATTAAAAAATTAAGTACATGCCAAAACACATTTTGGCTCAATTTTAATTATAAATTAATTAATTAGCCGGTTACCAAAAACGAACTATCTGATATCACTATTGGAAGTATTAAGAAAGTTTGCTAAAATCTGATTCAATCACATAAAAAAATTAATATTACTTTTTGTCTAAAATTTTAAAACAATAAATTAATGGATCTTTTATTTTTATATAGAATTATATTTACTTGTTTCAATTTAATATAAGATTTAGATTAAGACTTAAATTTTTAATAATTAAGTAAGATTAAAAGGAAAAAATAAAAAAAAAATAAAGTATATATATTTACAACATTAAGCATATATAGTTGTTGAATAAATAATGCAAACAGTATAGCCTCTATTGTGTAGAATCTTCCATTGCATGTTGTTTTCCTTTGTATATTGTTGTCTTATCATTCAAAGGAGGGTGAAAGTAACGTGTGTTGTCTAATATTATAATTAATAACGGAAAAGTGTCTTAATAGCATGAAAAAGTAAAAGAAAAAAAGAAAGAGAGTTTTATTTAGATTTGTGTCCTTAAGTATATTTGTTGCAGGAGATGAGAGATGTTATTGGTGAAGAGAAAGGTTGCATGTTATGCAAGTGGCTAATTCTCTGAACTTAATTAATATTGTTTAATGCTGACAACACATTAAGAAGTGTGCTTATGCTTCAAATCAATTAATGAAAAGAGTGATTCCGAGACATTACATTAACTACATCAGGCTACAGTTCAAAACTAATTAATATTACATTGCCGAGGAACATTTATTTTGTTTATCCGTTTATCTTTCTGCGGTGTTATTATTTATGAGGTATGGTTGGATAAACTTCTGAAATTGCTTTTAAAATTCACGGGTCAAAATTCTATAAATTTGAATTGAATTGGAAATTACAAATTTTGGTACGAATTAAAACTAACCTAATTTATTAAGAATTTAGTTTGTTTTAGTTGAATGTGTGGTAATTTAGATTGGTTCATTAATTTATTCATAAATTCTAAATATTAAATTATATTAAAAAATACAAATTTTAAATGTTTTTTATTTTTAAATGTATTTAAATTGTATTACATTTTTATGATTTTGGACTGTATTTAGGTCTGATTTTAAATTTTATTTAGATTGAATTTTATTTAGATTTTAATTAAAAAAATTATAATTCTTTTTAAATTAAAGAAACAAAATTGTAACTAATGAACTAAAATGTTTAATCCATTAACTTATAATAGACGGAATTAGATTCAAATTTTTTTAACTAGTTAGAATTAATTTAAGTGACTAACTCATAATAGACCGAGTCAAACTAGATTAGACTACCTATAACAACTCCATTTAATTTTTAAAAAAATTATTATAGAAAATGACAAAGTCTAGAAACTTAAATTAAATCAGTCAAAAATGTAGTCCAACTTATTTTGATTTGATCATCTTTTTTATAAAAATAAATTAAGTTGGAGTACCTTGTTAAAAAAATGAATTAGAAATTTTAATTCGTCTTGTTAAAAGATGAACGGATAAACTAATAGGGTGGTTTATCACTTTTTTTTTTATATTTTTTAGAAAAGAATTATATATAGATGTTAAAAGTGCATTATAAATATTTGTTCAGTTTTAATTAGATATGTCAAAACGAGTAACCTGGTTCAACCTGGTCTGGCTCACCACGGGTTGGTCACTTAGGAGTTAACTTAACTCGGCTCACTTATTAGCGAGTTAAAAAAATTCGAATCTAGTCCAACTCACCACGGGTTGATAGGTTAAACGGGTTGACTCACTGTCTCATTTAATTACAAGTGTTTTTTAAAATAAAAAAATTATAAATTTTTTTAATTTAAATCTAAATAAATGTCACACTAAAATGATGTTAAACTCCAAAGGCAATTCAAAATGAATAAAAAAAACTATCATATCATTCAAACGTAATCCAAAAACATGTACAAAAGGCGAACAAATAAGTTTTTAATATTGATAATTTTTGTATCACGATCATTTATAATATTAGAGTTTTGAATAGATAAATCTATAATAATTTTCTCTCTTGAAACATCTTCTTTATCACCATCTACAAAATTAAAAAAAAAAATACTAACTACTAATATTAAAACAAAAAATAATAAATAATTAAATTAAATTAGGTGGGTTGGTGAACCAACTCGACTCACCACAGGTTGAATCCGGTGAGCTGAGTTCTAAGTGAGCCGAGTTGAAAACTAGCCCGCATTGAAAAAGTACATTTTTTTAAACCCAACCTACTTCAAACTCGTAATGAGCCGGATTAGCTCGCGGGTTTCAACCCATTTTGACAGCACTAGTTTTAATTAATTAATGTTTTAAATCAAATAAATTCCATAATTATTACATATTAAATTGTTATATCATGATTAATGGTTAAAATTGTATTCATAAATATGAATAACTTAAATTATAACATTATTATATCCACCTCTTTTAAATAATATAATATACAAAAATCGACATTTAAAATTACATTTTATTTTATTTTCATTAAAGAAATAAGTTGTCTCATATCGACATCTCAATTTGACAGATAAGTTAAATTAAAATGGAGTATTAAATTAAAAAAATTAATCTGACCTGTCAAATTTTGATGAACGGATTCATCCAAAGTGATCTATTTTGTCATCTACTTCAAATAAGGCATCCATAACATATTGAATTAAAAATCTTAAAATAGTTAATTTGTGAATATTTTATTTGATATTATTATTTTTATTTAATATGAAAGTTAAACTTCCATTCAGATCTGTTGATTCCAAGTGGAGAAGATTAAGACAGATTGTTTGGCATGCAGCTCTCAAAAGCCAAAATTGTTGAATGATGAAAAATAAGTGGAACTGGTGTGACTCATGTGTTACATGATTAACAAAACCAAATTATTCATTTTTCACTCTTTACATCGTCAACACTAGCTGTGTCCACCACCAACCATTACAAAATTATTTTTCTATTATTAGTGTGCTAATTCAGAAAGGGTGAGAATGGAATTTTTTGTTTCTTTTCTTTTTTACTATTTAGAGTGATCAAATTCATTTTCATTAAACTTAATTATAAGTAGATTATTATACTTTTAAAAAATACATATTTATGAAAAAAAAAATCTAGAAAATTGAATGTCTCTCATAATAATTCTATTTGATTTGACTAACATTCTCATAAAAAACAAATTATGGAGACTTTTGAATTGTATAATATTTTTCAGTATACACAACTGTTAAAAGTTTAAAGATACGTTGACTAAGAATGTTGTTTACCAACATAAACTTATATTTTAAAATTATTTTTTTAATGTGTACTTCTTACGCTTATTTATAATTTTATTTTTATTTTTTAAATATCATGTCAAGTATCTCTAAGTTCCCAATTATTATTATATCATTGGTTTTATTATATTATGGTTTCATGTGAATGTACACAGGAAAGAAATTAGATGCGATGTATAATTATGTATGAAAATTTGAGACTCGCTTTAAAATGAAATAATTTAATTTATTGGCCAACAATGTAACGCTTAATTTAGCGTGCACCAACTATATATCTTTTATTCTGGATAGAATGAAAAAATATAATAATTTTTATTTAATTATTAAAGTAATTGAAAAAAAATTATAATTTTTGTAAAATAATTTAATGCAGAAAATTATTTAAAAACATAAATAATCATTATAAAATTTTCTAAAAAAATTATATTAACAATATATTCTAATTATTTTTAAAAAGCTAAAATTTTATTATATTGGTGTTGTTGGAGAAATTTGTAAAACACTTGCCATCTATATATATATATATAGGTATATACATATATGTATATACATACATATATACATACATATATATATATATATATATATATATATTCTTGCTTCTTCCTTTGAGCAATCCAGGGGCACCAAAGCCAACAACATCTCCTTATTTACTTTCTGGCATTTGCTTCTGCACCCCCATGATTACTATATGTACCCTTATATTAACAGCAAAAGGATTGAATAACCTTCTCTCGTTGCACCATGTTGCCACCGTAACTACACTCACTGCCATCATTGTGTTTACTTTCTTCTCCGTTGTATCCGCAATTACAGTGTTCCACCAGAGAAAAGAAAAAATAATAGAATAAGCTTTTGAAATAACTTGTTTTGAAAATTTTATTCTGAAAATCCTATTTCAGAAATTGTTCTGGAAATCATATTTTCAAAATTTCATATAGTTTGTCCCAAAATATTTTCAAAACAAAAATCACCATTATAAAAGATAAAATAGTCATTTTAAAAATTGTGGAGGTGTAATTAGTAATTATGGGAATACAGGAAGCAAAAGGCCTATTTTCATCAAAGTTTTAGTGATGCAAATGAGCATTTGGGCTTTCTATTGGTTGAAACAAACACATGTTTAATTTTAGAGAGTTACTTCCTCCACCACCACACACCGCTTCCTGCACCTCCCAATTCCTCTTTGCCCTTCAACAATATATAAACAGATGAATATACAAACGTCAACATCCGTGCACGGATACCAACACTCGTCGAAGAAGAAATGGATGTTGATATTCGTCCTTCAAACTTCTCTCCCCAAGCACAAACACTCGTTATCTTTCTTGATGTTAGTTTTCATGGAGTTTTCATGGAGGTTAGCATATCGTTTCATAATCGTATACCCAAACAATTTCTCACCAATTCTCTTCATGACCAGCCTTTTATTTCATATCAACATCTGTAGAAAACCGTAATACCTTCAACAGATCTCGGTATCCGTTGAAGACCCATTCCTATTGAGGTCTCCAATGCTTTCTCTCTTTCGCTCACAACATTAGCAACACATACCTCGATTTCAAAGTGTTGACGAGACCAAAAGAAGCATCAAGTGTAACTCTATAAAATTCAATAAATTTAATATATATGATTGATTAAACCACAATGGGAAATCATTTACTCTGTTGATTTATTCATGATTTAATGATGAATGCCTGTGCAATTTTTAAACCTAGTTTTGTTTGAAGCAGAAACTTGATCCATGGAACAACAAGAATGTAGTTAGAGAAGAGGATAAAGTGTTTCCACGTCTCATAGAATAAAGAACGCTTTGCTCCTTTCGCTCTTGAAATTCTAGGAATCATGGATGACTTGGAAGCGTTCTTTATGTTGCCAATAATACCCATGCATGCAGTTTTGCTTCCTGAATTCATGTTTGCTCTTGACAAATCTCTCCAACAATATATTTTAAAGGCAAAAGTTGGTTGTTGTATATATTTATTGCATATCATTTCATAATCGTATACCCAAACAATTTCTCACCAATTCTCTTCATGATCAGCCTTTTATTTCATATCAACATCTGTAGAAAACCGTAATACCTTCAACGGATCTCGGTATCCGTTGAAGACCCATTCCTGTTGAGGTCTCCAATGCTTTCTCTCTTTCGCGCACAACATTAGCAACACATACCTCGATTTCAAAGTGTTGACGAGACCAAAAGAAGCACCAAGAGGAGCGTACTAAGAGAGGAAGAGGAGGAGAAAAGGAAGAGGGGAAGAGAGAATTAATAAAATGAAATGTGGGAGTGGGGTGTGGTGCTGCCGAGAAGTGAAAAGGGAAGGGATTAGGGTTTGAAGAAAAAGTTAAAAAATAAAAGGAAGAGGAAGAGAGAAAGACAGAATTAAGAAAATGAAACGTGGGGGTTTGGGGTGTGGTGGGGCAGTGGAGTGAAAATGGGAAAGCATTAGGTTTTGAAGAAAAAGTATATACTTTTGTATATAGTATTAAAAAAAGTACAAGTAAAAAAAACCAAATCAACATGAATGCATTTAAGATATAAACTCTACTTCATCTTAAAATATTAGTTTAATATCTATATCTAGATTGGACTTAAATTTTGGTAATGTACACTATTAGCCTTTGCTAGCCTTTACCAATACTTTAATTTGTGTCAACTTGCCCATCTATATGCCACGTCTCTAATCTACAAATTTCTATTATGATAACAATAATTTATAACTTTTGTGTTTTGATAAAGTTTAATATGTTATTTTAATTTGAATTTAGATAATAATAATAATAATTATATATTTATCATTTTTTTAAAAAATATGTATATTTTTTAATATACAAAATATCACATCGTATTTTATTATTTTTCAAAAAACATCTTGAAATATGAAATACACATGTAATATAGTATTGTGCATCATATATGTGAAGCCAAAGATAGGAATTTTTTTTGCCACAAAGCAATTGAAGGATGCAAGTAGAAGGTGTTTGTCACCTATATAAAGGAGTAAGGCCATAGTTTATGGTGTTAACCATCTCACCCACGAGTTAGACAAAGTTAAATCTTTTTTTCATTTACAGAAGTGATTTTGATCCATTCATGTGCCTATAAAGTGCAGTTTAGTGAACAATGATCAGAAGTCAGAAGTAGAATCATATTTTTACCTTCTTTGATAGTATTTAAATGGACGAGAAGTAATGGCATAACTCAGCGTTCATCTAAGTTATTCGCAAAAAAGATCAACTCCTAATAAGTTGACTGTTTGCAATAAAGATATTTCTAATGTTCAAAGCATTCCATAAATCATATTTGGTGTATCTATTTAGCTTCTTTAAACAATCATCCTACACTTGCTCCCCACATACATCGGCAAAAGGGGAGAAGGACCGAATTGGGGGTTGAAAAATCTGGAGAAAATTTGACGAAAGTGAATGATACCCCAAAGAGAATCAAGATAAGAGAAAACTGTTAAGCCACCCAATAAATAAAAACACAACCTTTTGCTCTCAAACTCTATCATTGTCCTCTTTTGTCTTCAGAACTGTGATCTGATGGTTGAACTGGATTTCTGGTATCTTTAGCAAAAACGCTACCTTGGTGTGCCCCTATGAACAGATGTTCGACAATGTCAAACAGTAACAAATTCAACAGTTCAAAAAGACCACTTTAGTTTTGGACCAACCATGATCCCCATACTGTATTGATATGCTGAATTTAGAAAGCATAGCCAAATAAGGTCAACATGAATTTGGATTCTCTACTGGGTTTTCTTGTACTGTTTATCTGTTGTGCTTTCAAAATACATTTATTGATACTGATTTTGATGTTTTAGTATTCTCCTGTTGTTATGAGGTTAGAGTGTAAAAAACAACACTACTGAGAGCTATCATATGACAAAAAGAATGTAGCCAAATCATACCTGCAGGAGTAGTTACTCGATCACCAGGCCCCATGGCATGGCTAGAACTTGCAGTAATAGACAGTTTCCCATGAAGCTCCTGTGGGAAGGCTACATTATTCACTCCACCTGTTTCATTTTCTCCACTGTGCAAGTTCCCATCACTAACCATTTTTATAGCAGATTTAGGCGAGAAGGCAGTCGACCAAGATCCGCCATTTGACCCGGCCAAAGCCATTATAACATCTGCCTGCATGCATAAGTCATGATAAAACACAAAACCATATTGCTTATTTTGTATGCATACAAGTTTCAAATAAGTGGAATGACCCAACAGAGTGAAAATAATAGATAGTCTAATTAGGAGGCTGTGAAGGCCAAGCCAACCTACATGCTTTCAAAAACTTGCAAAAATATCATAGCTTGCTTACACTTAATATTCAAACCTAGATACTATGCAAAGTGGACAGCAGACATTGGAAAACAAGTGAAACAATGAAAACAGATTTTCCAATTGTTTCTGATCAACTGCTTCATGTAGTGATTGTATTGTAGTTAATTCCGCATAGTGTGATAATGCTTGCTTGGTGGTGGTTGCTGTAGTTGGCTATTTCACTTATACACTATTTGCACAAGTTTGTTACACTTTAGAATAAATTACAATGACAACCCCTCAAAATTCTTCGGATTGCACATAGTACTGTTGCTTTTTCACGTTTACAATAACTTTCAGCAGATATCTCTTTCAGATAAAATTATTAACGGTCATTTTACAGGTATTTGCCCCTTTTCTCCACTCAGAAATCAGAAGCGCCCACCATATTGACAGAAAATTTAGTTATTATAAACTGGTTTTATAGGATTAGGATTCCAAACTCTGTGAGCTGTATCGTGCCTACATTATTTGATTTTCCTTTCATGAAACATGTCATAAATGTGTACACACATCACCTAATCCCATTCAATGACAAGGTAATGACTATAAACAAACATGAAAGAATTCAATCAAATTGGGTACCGAGTCTTATGCTTTGAAGACATTCCTTATTATTTTCCTTTATTTATAGATCATTAGAAAGTCTACCTAATTTTTCTCTTTTTGTTTCTATTTATTATTTGTTGTAACTTAAATAAAGGCTATGTATTGTGTTTCTGATCAGAGTAAGAGAATACAAAACATTCAATATTAACTTCTCTCTTTTCCTCTAAACAATTTATGTACGTGAGTGTGTAAGAAAGTTAAGACTGGTGAGTGTGAAAGAAAGTTAAAAGTGCTATTATGACCAACTGATATCAAATTAGTATCAGAACTGGTTAAATAGAGCATTGCTATTGTGAGAGTCTAAAAGAGAGTGTGGATATACAAAAAAACACATATAGAGAAGAGAAATATATCGTGAGTGAGGAACAAGAGTTCTCATGGACATAAAAGATATATTACAAGAGAGTGAGATATGGCATTCAATTATAATATTATATGGTCAGGTCCCAAACTAGATAGGAAACTTGATTACAACTATTGGGAGTTACTGATGACTACTCATTTAAAGGCTCACAATATTTGGAGCTTTGTTTGTTGACTTGGGCTTATCAGATGAAGCAAGTGCAGAAAATCAAAAGAAGGATCAATTGGCTCTATCTCAAATCCAACAAGGAGTAGATTATTCTACTTTTGGTAAAATTGAAAATTGCAAAATTGCTAAAAATGCATGAACACCTTGAAGTTATCATGCAAAAGTGTAGAGAAGGCACAAAAACCAAAGTTGCAATATTTACATAGAGATTTGGACAAATGCTTCAACACTTTCCGAATTGGACATCTGACATTTGTCATAAGCCTGCGTTTCCTAATTTGATAAGCCTGGGTCAACAAAGCTCCACATATTGGGAGCATTTAGACGGGTAGTCATAAAAAACTCCCAATAGTTATAATCAAGGTAATGATTATAAACAAGCACAGATACTTAGATTCTTGTAAGTGAAAATGTGCATCAAGTGGGGATGTGTCTATCATTTTGAATTGAACAATCTTGTAAATTAGTTTTAAATCAAGGGTGGTGGTTGCACAACTACAAGACAAATTTTAGCAATACAATTTCTACCATTGGTTAACTTTTATTGAAAATCATAAAATTTTATACAACTAACTTCTTACTCGATTATGTAATTTCCAATCGGTTTTGACCAACAATGCTACTCACTTACAATAACAATAACTAGTTTAAAACCAACAAATCAGTAATCAATTCAATGTTAACAATATATCTGCAAATAAAGAGAGATTTATATAAAAAAAAATAAGCATAAAAGGCATATTTTCTCAATTGAATTAATCTATAATATAAGAGACAAAAATGATGCAAACCAATAGTAAACGCAAACAAATTTTGGAACACAAAATAATCAATGACATCCCAGACTTGCATCCACTTGCTCCTAATATATCATTTTAGGTCAAAGAGCATATTGTTATGAACTATATATTCCAAACTTTTAAGCTATTATGTGGAAGCTCATGAATGGTTTCATATTGTTCTCCAAATAGTGAATTGTTAGTGACGCTACTAGAGAAGGTTGTTTCATTCTAGGCGTCCAGACCTATGAGCCGAGTAAAAATATTCACAATATCTCCATATTAATTAGGAGAAAATATCTTTAGAATCTTTCTATTCATTTTAACATATTTTCATTTTCTTATTGATAAGAGTTTGAACTTGACTGTTATAAACAAAAGTGATGAGAATGTAATCGGTGTGATTGTTATTAATAAAATAATTTTGCATTTCATTGCATAGTTGAAGTAGGCATCAGAGGCCAAGGTTTATTGGTGACTGGATCAAACAAGTAAAATACAAAGTGGGGTGATAGATCCTAGATTTCCGGATTCCCTGTATCAATAGTCTTTCTAATAAAAATTTTAAACAGATGTATCCAATTGTGGTGGTACAAGTAAGACCCACAAACTTATAACCTTAAGATTTCAAGTTGAAGGTGATGTCAAGTTCTAGTGTTGTTGGCTCATGGCCCATTGGCAAAGATCCCTTTACTGTTTTCTGCTCTTGGATTGCCCAACAAGTGATATCAAAGCTCCAAATCTTGGAAAGCTTGTTTCTACTGACACATAAATAGTCATCATCACCGTTGTTAACGTCAATGGTAAGCCAGAAAGATGCGCCCCACTTCGACGATCGCAACATTTGCAATTATGTCGTATATAGAGTTGCAACACATTGTCACGTGCTACCATCATTATCGGCACATTGAGCCCACACACCTAACTCAGGCAAAACCCACTCACCACCACAACACACAGAATCTCATGAGCCCATTCCAAGAGGTGTTGATGTCTCATGTGGTTGTGATTTGAGTAAATGAGTTTTTTGGTTCTTTTGCCAAACAGGTTCCCCTTGTTATATCTTTGTTTTGTAATTTTCTTTTTAGTGTATGGTATGAAAGCTTATAAGGACGACTTAGTCATTTGAGAATTATGATTGAATCAATGAGTAAGTTCTCTAGATTGTATACCATGTCCATGAAAGGTAAGAGTACATTCAATATTGTTCTACTGTGTCTCAAAGTGTTTGGATTCTTGATTCAGCAACAATTGATCACGTGACTCCATTTCTATCTAGTCACATGACTCCATTTTCTATATTCTTATATTCGTATTTCAAAATGACTAGAGAACAACTCATTACAGTAGCAAATGGTGATAGCATACCCATATACTAATTTGGGAATATAACTTTTAATCATCTATTGTATTAAAGAATGTTTTATTTGTCCAACAACAGGCCAATAACCTTATTTCTGTACAAAAACTCACAAATGTTGACTAACTTTTTTTCTCTTCTTATTGTTACAAATGAACCCATTAGAAGGGAAAACATGATAAATTCACAAAACATGGATGGAAACTCAGGGTTGTTGGAGACATCAAATAGATGAAAATTGCTCAAATAGACCTTCAACAGAATGGTCATCGGCAGACTTTTCCTAGCAATCAAATGTGTAGCAACTTCCAAGAACTAAGACTTTTCCAAATTCATCAATATACTATGCTTAACTAACATGGATTTATTAAATAGGAACATTAGTTGCAGTGAATGGATATCTTCCAGAAGACAAAGCAGTAATCTATATTTATTATAGTAAATAGACTCAAAATAAATCCATAGTTTTCAATCCAGGAAAGTGGCAGAGCATCTTAGCCAGATTATTGGCTCAGCAGTGTTATTGGTTGGTATCAAGTCTTATCAAGCAGCAATTATAGGTTCAAAACAAAAACTAGATAGTGCAGTGACTAGTTAAAATAAATTGTAGAAACTACAGTACAAGTGTGGTATGGAAATCAACTCTTAATATCAAAACATGTTTTTCAGATAAACCAGAATGATAGTAAAAGTTCGAATGAGCACTTAAAATTGACTACCATATGGCTTTGAAGAAAATGTGGTCTCCATAAGTGATTGTCAAATCATCCCAAAAGCTTAAACTATTTAGTTAAGACAGATGAATGGTTTATATCACATGTCTAACACGTACACCCCCACACAAGAGCCCTTTGAGCTAGCATTATGCACAAACCGAACCACTAAAATTTTGGAGGCCCTAGTATCACATCATGAGCAAAAAATCCCAAAAGGTTAAGCTATTAGGCGAAATCATGCAAACAGTTTTATACATACCCCTGTAATAATCACAGATTAAATTTTTGGGCAAAAATTTTAGGGCAACATACAAATCTGACAAGCAAACGAGTTTTGACAGAGGAATCAAAGTAGGTAATTATAAACTTGAACTTTGGAAACAAAAATTGGAAACAGAGTATATGATTTTTGCAATAAACAAGAAGAAAATGACAGAGATAAAAGTTGGAAATGAGTAAATTAAAGCATTTGGTGATTGAAACATAAAAGGGATAGATAGAGGGGGTCCAAACAAGGACATAGGAGGAAATCATAAAAAACATGAGTCATGTGAAAAGAGATCATATGGTGAATAATATTCTTAAGAACTTGACTTTTAACTGAGATCAATGGTATATATATCGTCTAATCCCTGTGATTTCATCTTAATTAAGACTACTGTCATTGTTGTTACTACACTAAATGCAACATACAAATATGACATGCTAACAATCAGAGGTCAGACCTTATGAGGATGGACATCATCAAAAACATGAGCTTGGCCTCCATAAAAAATAGTCATCTGACGGCTGGCAGAAGTTAGGGTGGGTTGACTGCTGTCAATACCAAATGCATAAAGTCAAGGAACTTCTCCCTTTTCAAATGTAAATGGAGAAAAAAACAAAAGAACCAAGGGGAATTCAGCAACTGTATCTACAAGAAAGATTTACCTTGGAGGCGTGGATGATTCTATGATATTACTTCCAGGCTTTGCCCTGCTGCCACCAAGCATCACAGCAGAAGAAGTTTTCTCAGCACCCATAGCAGCAACATTTATAGAACTTAAAATTCCAGGGCCCTTGATTCCAGTTCTAGATCCTTCATCAGCAGCAGACTGAGAAATGAAGGAAGGGCCAGCATTGGTATCCCTGATCTTGCTTGAGGCCATTTGGTGGACAAAAGGTGCCAATTGCCCTCCACGGGGTGGATACTGCATGGAAGGGCCAACATTCATGAGAATAGATCGTTCCCACTTATTGGCATCAATCTTAGTGCTGGTGGGAGGCTGAAATATCTGAGAAGAAGATTGTTTCATTGACTGCATACCAAGTAACATTTCCTCATCATTAGGCCTTCTAGACCTATCTCCAGCTGCATGGCGGAGAACCTGTGCAAAATCAGAACTCAAGATGTAAAGCAAAGAAGACAAAAGCAGAAGTATTTCAATTCATTTTTGAAGATTAAGCAAATTGGGAAAGAATAATAAGCAATAAATAAAATCAACCTTCATCAAATGTGAGTTTTGATATGAATCAGGGACCATTTGGAAGGCATCTCTGGAGGAACCAGTAAAAGCGGAATCAGAATTACTTCTCTTGCTTCCCACTAATCTGTTACTGATCTCAGCACCAGAAAGATCACTCCTCGGGCCATAGAAAGGAACTCCCTCAAGATGGTTTCCTACCTGTTTCTCTACCAAATTGATGAGACGAAAAACATTACGTTCATAGAAACGAATACCCTCAAAAGATAATAGAAATTTCCATAAATAATTTGCATTTTCAACAACAATTCAAAAAAATGAGTCAGAACGTCCATTTATAGATGAAAAGGCCAATAAAAGAAAAGAAAATGAAACAACACAATCACAATAATTGTGATAAATACCTAAAACCCCGTATCATCATTATGGCCCCAATGCACAAATGTTGACAGAAAATTACACTTTTCTACTGAAAACATCAGAAATTTTCAGCACGAATTCAACCCTCCCACTTAGTACACCAAATTATACTCCAGAAGAGAGAATAAAATAGCCAAATCAAACACCACACTGAAACCCCTGACATTAGAGTATATATTCACATACCAGGAAAAACAAACCAAACACACTAGCTAGTAAAAAGTCAAAAAACATTAGAGAGTGAAGAAAAAAAAAAAGCACAAAGCAAAGGGAAAAAACTATGAAAAACCATGTGAAGTTAAACTAACCCAGTACTGATCTCACTAAACTAATCCGTCAGAAAAGTACCCCCACCAAAAGAAAAAAGATGGTAGAAAACATCAGTGAAAGATGAGATTCAATGCTAACGAAAGCAAGCTCTTGTAGGCAAAGGGTAATGCCCTGAGTACGGCCCTCAATTTTTTTTATTTTTTAAAAAAATTTCACCTTTGATTACAAAAGCCGAAAAGTGAAACCACAAAATAGCACTCACCAGAAGCGATGTCGGAGGTGGCTGAGAAAGGGCCACGCCCACCAGCGGAGGAGGCGGAGGCAGACGGTTCCGACAACCTTACATCGGTGGTTTTTGGAGAATCAGCTGCGGGCTTCATGCCCAGAAAGTCATGAAGGACCAAAGTCTGGTTGACAGTGTTGCTGGTGTTGCCATTGTGAGGCTGAGCCATTCTCAGCAGCACAGCCATGACATACCCATCTCACCAACACAGAGAGTGAGTGAGTGAGTGAATAGGTGGGAAGAAGAAGACCAAGAAGAAGAACAAGAAGCAAAAGCACGATCTCTTAAAAAAGAAAGATAAAAGACAGAGATGGAGAGAGAATCAGTCCTTTTCCGAGAGGGAGAGAGAGAAAAAAAGCAAAAGGTTCTTTCTTTGTTCGCAAATGTTGTTGGGCTAATGTATTCTGTTCATTTTAATGGGCGCATGTCTGTCTCTGTTATGCTGTCCTTGGTTGTGTTGTGAGTGTGTGTGAGTGGGTATATATGTAATGATAAACTTGTTGTGACTTTTGTCAGATTTTGTTCTTCCCTTCTCACATTGGAGAGCCAAATAATTGAGCTAACTAATAATCATGCTCCAATTGGAGAAAAGATGCATCTTTTTAGAATGTGATGTGATTACATTCTCTTTCCTTCTTAAATCTAACTGCACTTCTTATCTACTTCAATCACCATTCTACACTTTCTTCCCTGTTTCTAAATACTCACAATTTCACTTTTTTTCCTCTTTTTTCTTTTTTCATCAACTGCAGATTTCAAAAATCCAATTCCTCCTCATGTCAAATTACACAAATTTAAACAACTTAATTATTGCATTTTAATTACAAAAAAAAACTATGTATAATTTGTTTCATTTTATCCTAATTCATTTTATCCTTATGAAGTTAGTTGAAGTTAAAATACTAATATAAAGTCTAATAATTTATTGCTTAAAAATCATTCTTTTACTTATTCTATCTTTACTAAAAAAACTAAACATTAGAAATTAACAAACAGGAATTAGCAAACAAAATAAAAATTGTTTTACTGTTTAATGATTTCTCCTATTTTCAAACTAATAAATTTTTTTATATTTTGATATCTGGGAAAATCAATTAGATTAAAAAAAAGATGGTTAATGTTTAAAATAAATAAGTAGTTAATTTTTTATCCATTAACAGTTCGGTTTTATTTAAAAAAAGGATTTTTTTTATGTATAACTTATAATAGTTGTCTTGAACAAAATACTTTTAACTCTCATTGGGATCTTTACTTTAACGAGTTTTTCAATTTATTAATCTCTTGTTTCTTTTAATTTTAATTATTTTAACTCGAATTTGTTATTTTAATTATTTTAACTCTAATTTGAATTTCAATACGTTTTAAAAAAATTATCAATAATTTAAAATAGAATTATGCGTTATATAATTATGTATCATAAATCTAATAGAACTTAAATGTTTTAAAACATTTATTACAAATTTTAATTAGAATATGATTTTTATATTTGGAAATTGATTTAATATAAATTTTAATTGTATAAAATAAATATTTATTCTACGTTATGCGAAACTATTAATTAATAAAAATTATATAGTTTTTAGAATCAGTTGTGATGAAATACAAATTCAAAGGACATTTATTTACAAATATTAAAATTTAGAGGTTTAATCCTTTTCGACATCCCTATTTATGTACGAATGTCTCATATGAGTCCTCGTTTTCTAAAGTGTATCAAAATGGTCTTTAATTTTGAAAATTGATATCAATTGAGTCCTTTCCGTTAAGTTGGCTGGACGGCGTTAAAAAAATTGATGAGTGGATGCTGAAATGACGAACGAACACTCGTCCACCAGCGAACGAACGCTCGTCGACCACCGAACGAACGCTCGTCCAGTGTGGAACGAACGGTCGTCCAGCAGTAAGAGGTCGACGAGCGTTCGTTCTCTGGTGGACGAGCGGTCGTTCGCTAGTGGATAAATAGGGATGTCGAAAAGGATTAAACCAAATTTAAAAAATAGATAAAATTAAAAATTGTAGTCTCAGAATAAATAATTTTTAATGAAGAGTTAATACAAATTTAATTTTAAAATATGCTTTTTATAATATAAATTAAAATTAATTTAAAAGCCTACTCGTTTTTAATAAAAAAATGTTATCAACAGGTTGTTTTGCAACTGAGAAATTTAATATTATGAAATTGTTTTTATTGAATGTTCATACCTTGTTTTACTTAAAAAAAAGGTATTATGAACAAGTCTTTTTTAAATATAAATAATTACTCTTTAACGTTTTAGTTCTTGCTTCGTTTTCTCGTTCGTTAAGAAAAAAAATGGTAATTTTAAGTTAACTTGGGTGTGTTTATTTTTTTTAAATGTTTATTTTAAAAAAATGAATAAATTTCATTTTTTAATCTCTGTGTATAATCTTGTAATTTTAAAATAAATATTTTTTTTGTCTTTTTAATGAAAAACATTCTAATTTTTGTCTTTTTGATAAAAAAATTATTTTATTTTTAAATAAATAATTGTTTTTTTAGAAATACTTAGCTTAATTTGAGCTAGCCGGCATAGCATTGTTATTTTAAACAACACAAAACAATAAACTATACAAAAAAGTATTATGGATAAGTAAATTTATATAAAGTAGCTTATATTAAGCATTCCTTAAAATCAATTATTTACTAACACAAACAAGTTTTATTTTATGAGAAAATTATTTTACTTTTTGTTATTTTCATTTGCAAGAAATACTCATAGGAAAACAAAAATCACCAATAAAGATGATTTTTTAAAAAAGGAATGAGAATTTGCATAGGCATTGGAGTGAGTGCCTAACAATTAGTGTAGACTATATATAGAAAGGAATATATATTATTATAGCATAGTTCGCAATCAATAATAATAATAGCTATTTAATATATTTGACAAATTATTGGAAAGTGTCACTATAAACTCAACATTTCTATACGTGACATCACTAATAATAATGAGACCATGATACCAGCCACTTGTCCTCCTTCTACACAACTCCATTAATATATATCTAATCTATATATATTATAAAATAAAAACTACTTGAAATAAGGTATGACAAATAATAGGTAAAAAAATTTAAGTTTTATTCTATCTTTTCTTTTCTTTTATTTTCTTCTAAAGTCGAGATAACAACTGGTCAAACTTACCTTGAAAGTTTGTTTCCTACCATTTTCTTTTCCTTTTACTTTTACAAACATAAATTTGAAACTTTTGGCTGTCCTCGTAAAATATGAAATAACATATTGACATAATTAAGACCACGTTTGTTTTTAGTTTATTCACACAATATTATTATTATTAAGAATAATGATATTTTCAGAATATTTCTTTTACAATATTTTAACATTATCTATGTGTCATTAAGTGATTAGTTCATGTTGATGTTTATGATTATTATTATTATTGATTGTTGAATAATTTTGGACTAAATCACAAAATAACACGTAGATAATATTAAAATGTTGTCAAAACTATTTTTAAAGTATCATTATCATGATATTATTAATGAGACATCACTCTAACCTATAAAAGAATTAACATTGTTATCTTTAATTTAAGACTCCAAGTTAATAGATTTATGATATTAGGACTCACTTTTGAATTCATGATACAAGCCTTAAATCAAATGTAAAGTAACCAGGATTCATTTTTTGAACGACTATTTCATTCTCTCGGGAAATAAATGATAATTTTTTAAATTTATTTTTTATTTTATATAATGTGTTACTGTTTTAGCTTAAAGTTCATTAAAACAATAATCATCCTATTGGTTATATAGTTTGGTTATATTGTATGTTTCGAAGCTTAAAGCTTCGTTATTTTGTTTTAAAAAACCATTTTGAATGTTAAAGAGAAATATTTATTTAAATTATTATTTGACATTCGTTTTTTAAATTTTGACTAGAGGTTTGTTTTAGTTAATAATTGAAAAAATAAATTTAAATATGTTTTATTTCTTTGATTTAAACAACTTTGAAGATAAAACCATTGTGATTCTAACAATTATTGTAACCTTTTAAAAATCAATTGAATTAAATATATTTTTACTTCTTACATTATGCGAAATTATATTTTATTTATGTTCAAAACTTTATATTATTTTTCTAATTTTAAAAATAATAAATCTACCATCAATGTGTAGTTATACACAAATAAAGTTTAAAGATAAAAATAATTTAAAAAATATAAATAAATTTAATTTTACATAAAAATTAAAGAATTAAAAGCATATTTAACTTAAAATAATTTTAGTAAATTTACAGAGGATGGATATGAATAACAAAGTTTGTACTTGGTACTACTACAAATTGAACAGATAGATAGAGTAGAAAAAGTAGCAGTGAAAGAATATGGACGCATACATTAAATAAAAAACAAAGATAAGATACTTTTGGGCAGAATGGTATTAAAAGGAAATCTGATACATCTCAAACATGTGGAAGGAGAAAGACAAAATTATAAGACATAAGCAATAGTATACGACAAGATGTTGAGAAAAACCAAACAGGTCAAATTCTAAAAATATTATTTATCGTTCATTCCCATTATCAATAATAAATATATGCAGGACCAAAATGAAATATCTCAGTTTAGAAAAGCTTAGGAAAAAGAGTTGTATGGCCCTTGCATGCATAAACATGATTGTTACTTTTACCAGCAATACTGGTTTACATAATCGAGTGATTCTTACTTTTGCTTACAGAAAATATTTTATTCTGCTGCCATGGATTCAAATTTTCAATTATTGCTCCTTGTTGCTACCTAACACATTTTGTGGTGAACCCTTTTTTTCACTCTAGCAATTTCTATGGGTCCTTATAGTTCAGCAAATTAATGAATCAAACTTTCTGAACTATTTAAATTTTGTTTCACCTATCTTACGTTTGCAAAGTGTTACATTAGGGACAAACGACATCAAGTTGAAAACTTTTGGTCATGTCCTTCGTTTCTTTAACTCAGCATGCGTGCATTCTCAGGAAACTGATGTCCTCTCGGGAAAATTTCATGTTAGAGAAAATTTAGGTGTGTTTGTTTTAATATTTGTGTCACTCTTTTAGGCACTCAGATTTGTTTTCAAGGATCGAGACGTTAAATATTAAGTAAATTGTTTAAGGATTTAATGTTATTTTTAACTTTAAGTTTTTTCATAACTGTTTAAAAGATATTTTGATATGAAAATCAGTGTTTTACATTTAACAAATATTTCAAATTTATATTTATAGATTTTAAAATAAATTTTTATTAATAATAATTTAATTACAACTGTTAACAATCATACTATATTTTTAAGTTATTTAATATTAAAATTTAATCACCTGGACTATTCACCAATTAATCTGACTCCTTATCGTTCAGTTTTAGTGATGTTTTATTTATACGTCTCATTGATCAGTGATTATTTTGTTTATGGTAAACCGACAATCATGCAATACAGTAATGTTAAATTATATGTGTGAAAATACATTTGCTAGTCACGCGGATTTACAATAATTTTGAGACGAAAATTTATCACGGTATCTGAACATAAAGATAAAATATGAAAATATATACCGTACAAATACGAGTAAAACCAAAATACACTTAGTATATGTAAGTAAGCTTTGCTCGGTTTATATATGATAAATTGAATTTTATCTTTGATTGACGTAAAAATCACACCATAAAATTATATACGCCAACCAAATGAACAACAACATAAATCCAACAGATTGGCAATATAAAACTATGTTTTATGATGATGCTTGCAATATTTCTCCTTCAAGACATTTATATCTTCAATAAACTCATTTCTAATAATTCCTGCGAAATTGGAGGTTATTTAAGGTATTGAAAATTTCATTACACAGGTTTATATCCATATTCAGTAATCCTCTATCAGTTATTCTAAGACATCATCATTTGAATTATATGTGGTAAAAAAAGGCCGGTTAACTTTTTAAGATCTTTTTAAATTGATATTGGCTTATTTTATTTTTAGTAATTGTTTTGGGTACAGAGTCACTTTCAATACCTATACAATTTTTTCGATGAAGTCGTATGATGACCAACTCAAATCTTTGTCTTCATTTCACTATTCGGAGATGTATTTGCCAAAAGTTCTCCGATGCTAAAGTCAGTAAGTTATTCGTTCGGTAGCTCAATGCAACAGTAATAAATGCACAGTAAAATTCGATCATCTACCACCATTTGACCTAAGATCTTAATCACGGTCAAATCTCAGCCTAATACCCTTAAGTACTAATTACCTTAATCTTCGTAGGAGGCCGGACATCCTGCTTATAGTCGTCCGGTAGTGCTTCAACCCAATTGCCTTAGTGTGTTTACTGTTTGCTGAGTATATCCTCTCTTGACTTGACATTTGGTGTATTCGTATAAGTGTCCGTCTATAGGGTGATGTCATGACCGGTCGGCTCTCATCGTAAAGTAATAAATATTTAATTTTTTTGTGTGCATTGAAAACATTTTCATGAATATATATAATCAAGAGGTAGGAGTAAGTATTACGTACGTTTTCCAAGAACTGAGAACAACTGCTCATAATACCATACGTGACTCTCATCTCTCATCCATTTGTTCTATATATAAAAGATAAATTGGTTAAATATTATAATTACCATTACATCTCTTAAGATGTTTTGTGGCTAATCTAGTTAAATTCAATTTATAATCTACTACTAAAAGTAAAAAACTTGGAAGTTTACCCCCAAACCATCAAACAAACAAAAAATGAGTGGTATGGGAAGGTAAGCTTTGGCATTGATGGTTAACATTAATTAATGAAATTAGCACAAAATAAAAAAGGTGAGATTATTCACTTAAATATTTTGGAATGAGTTAGATCGTGAAATTTCTTGCGTTTTCTTCAATAATTAAAAAACAATCAGAAATGATGAACCCCAGTTGAATTTTTTGTGAAGGTTGAAATTCTAATTGATTATTAAGATAAATATGGCTATTGAAACATGTGCATACGTTGTGTTGTTGCTTAGCCCACTAAAGAAAACCCCATTAGATTGATTTTCGATCATTTGTTGAAATTTGATCAAATCTCAAGTCAAACCATCAATTAATATCCAATAAATATATATTGTTATGATATACACGATTTAAAAATTGAGATCAATGAGAATGTAAATATATATTATTTTCTGATAAAAATTGAAAATCTCAAATCATATATACTGTTTAAACTTCTTATACATACATAACTTTATGCAAGATAGTGATGAACTGTGGCGTAGCTTCAATAACAAAATCGATGCAAGGACGGTGACATTCAGCGATGAAGGGAGTTGCAATGGAGGTTGCGCTTTAGTTTATAAAGAAAGAAGGAAGAAAAAAATTGTACAAATGAAATGGGGTCATCTCTGTATCTTTTGTGAAATTTAACCTTAAAATAAACTTTAGGCTAAAAACATGTAGGAATAAAATATCATTAAATAGGCTAAAAAAATTTCTTAAATAAGAATATTTAAAAGAAGTGATATTTTATTTATATTTTGAAGAAGAAATTAACACACTCTCGAGGTTGCTCTGAATGATGGAAGGAATGATTGTATATCCATTACTTCCTTTCTCCCTTTGTTTATGTTTATTAAGAGAGCAAGATTGCTTGTTAGGAAGGAGAGTCTTTCTACGTACAATTTCACAAAACCTTCTTCATCTTCCCAAGGAAAGATTATTCCCTTCTCTTCCTCTTTACTTTCCTTACACTCATTGGTTAATATAAAATATAATGAATTCTATAACAAGTTTCCCTAACCCTACTTTCATTTCTACCAACATAGAAAATAACTTATTTTCTTACAAGGGCTCAAACTTAATGTGTAGTAGATTTACTTTCAAAGCTTTTCAAAGTTTCAAGTTTGATTTCTAAGTGCATATAGGAGACTTTTAATGTCTGCAATGATTTTACTAAGTTCCAGTATGAATATTTATGTAATCTTCAACAGAATGTGATGAAAGAAAGGGAAGATTCAAAGCAAAAAGAGAAGCAAACACAAAAAAGATGTCCCCTCACCGGAACCCAAAGCAAAGCATCTCATCAAGTTTACTTCATCATAGACTCAAACTAACCAACCATTATCCATTTGACTACTTTTTCTATCACATCTAAGAAGCAATGGAGCAAACCCCTCTTGTGGTGGCTTCAATACTCAATGGAACTTTGCTTCTCGTTGCATTCGCTCTTATCCAAGGTAATCCCATCACGTTAATTCATCAATTTTCCATTCCCTTATTTCAACTTTTTTTCTCATTCTTCATCTCATCTTTAACCACCTCACAGAAGCACATGCAACTGCAAAAATCGGTGTTAATTATGGAACAGTCGCAAACAACCTTCCTCCACCTTCTGAGGTAGCAAAATTCCTCTCCAAATCCACCACAATCAACAGGGTCAGAATCTTCGACGCCAACCATGAAATTCTACACGCTTTTGCCAACACCGGCATACAGGTAACCATAACTGTCCCCAACGACCAAATCCCCCAAATAACTAACTTAACCTTCGCACAGCAATGGCTCAAAACCAACGTCCAACCGTTCCTCCCCGCCACCAAACTAATCCGAATCCTCGTCGGCAACGAAGTGCTCTCCACCGCCAACAAACTCCTCATCAGCAACCTCGTACCCGCCATGCAAACCCTTCACGTGGCCCTCGTCACAGCGTCGTTGGACAACAACGTTAAAGTCTCAACTCCACACTCTTTGGGCATTTTGTCAAACTCAAGCCCTCCCTCATCAGCCAAGTTCAGACAAGGCTACGACATGCACATTATCAAACCCATGCTTAGTTTTCTCAAAGATTCCGATGCACCCTTCATGGTTAACCCTTACCCTTTCTTCGGATCCTCTGCCACCAACCTTGATTATGCACTCTTTCGGACCAATTCGGGTGTATTCGACGACAACACCAATCTCCGATACACCAACATGCTGGACGCGCAACTCGATGCTGTTTATTCCGCGCTGAAGGTTTTGGGCTTTGAGGACGTTGAGATTGTCATTGCCGAAACGGGCTGGCCCTCCCTCTGTGATCCGGCCCAAATTGGTGTTGGCCCGAAGATTGCTTCTGAGTACAATGGAAATCTCATACGACACGTCAATTCTGGGGTTGGAACACCACTCATGCCTAACAGAACTTTCGATACCTATATTTTTGCTTTGTTTGATGAAAATTTAAAGCCCGGCCCAACTTGTGAGAGGAATTTTGGGCTCTTCTGGCCCAATATGACTCTAGTTTATGATATCCCGATAATGAGGAGCTATGCAGCTGTAGTTGGTGATAGAGATTATTATAAAGTTTTTTTCTCATTCATGATCGTGTTCAACTTCATTTGTACATCATGGGTTTAAATTTGGTAATTGCTTTTTTGCCCTTTCGATTCTTGTTTCCCAATTTTCCTTTTAAATATTATTTCCGTTTCTCTAAAATTCTCAAAGCTTGATTTCAGTTTTTTAGAACCTGTGAAATTCGGAAATGTTGCTGAAACGACACCCAACCCTCAAGCTTTCGAATCTCAAAACTGTGGCAACTGAAGTGGTTGATCTTTCTGAGGTGATTTCTTTTACTTTCATAAGTGTATATCTTTTACTATTATCCTTGTCTTTCTAATCGATAATTCAAACGCCTTTCTTTATGATTCAGACTTCCTCACATACCCAAATGAGATTATACACTTTTTTTCATGATTTTAGATATATGGAGTCATTTGTAACAATGGTATGATAGTATCTTGGGAAGAATCTGTAAATTCATAGAGTTAGGATTCCAAGTGATTAAGTGTTACTTTAGTTTTTTTCTTCTCCAGCAGAACTGATTTAGATTATAATTTGCACAGTATTTCGTATAAATGTTAAAGCCTGAAGGATAATTTTTATCACAGGTTTGCTTGTTGTTGATGAGATTATGATATCCCTTTGGAATGATTGGTTGAATCCTTTGGACATAAAAGTCAAAACCAAAACTCTTCATTATGGGAAGACAAATTGGATTCACCAGTCTAAACCAGCAAACAAGCTGTGTTCTCAGCAGAGGCATGTTGAAATGCATATCTTTAGAAAATTGTACTGTGCAAGATTTAAGAGTAGAGAGGTTTTAAACAAAGTTTTACTGGGTTCTCTACTTTTTTTCTTGGAGAATGAAGAACATATTATGTTACATAGATAGCAATGAAGTATTCATTACTGATTAACATTGTAAAATCTTGTTTAACATACTATTTCTTAGTGTTGAAGTGTCTGTTTAGTTATCATTGGATTTTGTATTTTCTTTTAGTTAGTTTTCCTTCCCTCTTTTTGTTAGCCATCTCATAGCATCGATGTGCTATTCAGTATATAATGTATTTCTTGATGAAATTCGATGATTCTTTTATATAAATTCAAAATATTCGATCTTCTACTTTTTATTGATTATGTGTTTTCTTTGGTTCCTCTAATGAAAAAGCAGTGAGAAATTAGTCTTACTATAACTCAAACTCTTTCCATAAATTCTGATTTTTATGGTTAAATCTTCTAACAAATTTCTCCTGTCGAAGACAGTAAAACAAGAAACGAAAAAGAGCTAAAACGTTGACTCGTGCTATATATTATTTAGTCATGAAAATAAAATAGTATTAACTCAAGTAACTTTTGACATGTATAAAAAAATATAATTTTTTTATTCAGTTATTATTAAAATAATTTTTTATGTAAATTATATTTTTTTCACAATATTTTATTTTATAATATAGTTTTAATTACCAAATTATTTTATCTTACATAAATCGACATTTAAGTTGTATAAAAGATATATACCCAGATAACATTTGACTAAAAGGAAAACTTTAGCTAAAAATATTTGACAAACATCTTTGAGTTCTTTTAGCTTTAACTTAAAAGTTAATTTTAGAAGAAAAATAAACTGGTCAAACACAAGTCTATGAGTTTTTCTGAAACAATAACAAAATAAATAAATAATAGTACAAAAGTATGCTATTTTATAATTTTTTTAATTGTTATCATATATCTTTAACAATTTTTTATTTTTTAATTAATATTCTAAAAATGTTTTAGCTAGCACTTTGTAATAATTATTGACCACTTAAATTTAAGTCCTAACAATTTAAGATTTTCTGATAAAGATTTTTAAGTAGGAATGGAAAAATAACTTTTGTTATGTAAATTCACAAGTTAACTTGTCAAAATTTGAGGGAATAGATGTTTTCAGTTTATCATTGCTTTGATTAGTCCTGCTTAACTTGTTAAACTAACGTATTAAATAGGAACTAAAAGCGAACTGATACACAAATTCACGTTTTTTAATTAAAAAAGTAAAATATTTTTATTATATTATTTAAAAGATATAAATAAGTAATATTATTATATTCTAAATAAATAATTATTATAAATTAAACTTAAATTATTAATTATAATTAAAAAAATAATATATAAAAATAAATATTATTTTTATTTATCTTATTGGATACATTAATTAATTAATTAGAAATTTATTATGACTGTTTTGTTATGACATTAGGCATCCCTTTGTGCAAGAGATAATAAAGACTTGGGTGATATTACATTCTCGTCCTCTTAATCTTAATTTAAAATTATCTGAATCTTATAGTACCTAATTAGTAACAAGGTTTTTTTAACTTGTTTTTAACTGTTAAATTTGGGTTATTTTATTTTGTATTGAATGGTATAATTGTGGATTCACACTTTGTGATAGCTTTTTTTATTGCCATAATCTCTTTTGTGATAAAATTTTTTAAATATAATCATTTAATGTTTAAAATCTTTAAAATCAGTTAAATTAAAAATAAATAATATTAAAACCGTAAAATGGTGTATTTTCTTTTTCAAAATGAGATAAATTTAAAAAAAAAATACGAAATCATATCAACTGATACAATTTTAAATAATTTTTGATAAAAAAATATGTCAATTTAATATGATTTTAGTTAAAAATACTTTCAATTGAAATTGTATCAATTTAACAAAAATTCAACTTTAAAAAATAATTGAACTAAAGTTTTGATAGCATGACACAACTTGTTTATAACAAAATTTTGTCACTTTTATACAATTTATTCACTCTCATAATTTTTTAAAAATATATCACATTTAAGTAATTTCTAAAAAGGAAAAATTTCTACCACGTGATGCTTTGTCTCCCTAACCTAATGTTCATCATCAACGACGAAGAGCAGCATATAACCAAGTTAATATGTTAAAAAAAATATTAAAATTGTTAAAAAAACATATAAAAATATACGTTTAGTCTTTCTTATTATATAAAAATATATCATATGTTTGTTTTTGTGTGTTACTCTTTAAATTTAAACTTAACACTATATTCTAAATATTGTTTACTAATATATATATTTGAATTTTTGAATATGTTTGTTTACAATGTAAATTACTTTTTTTAAAAATGAGTAATTTATTAATTTTTTGTTGTTGTTTTTTGACATATAAATGTAGATGAGAGCGCGATATTCTAATATATAACAGAAAGTTGACTAAAAACTTATATATCTAATATATATATATATATATATATATATATATATATATATATATAGTATTTATAATAAATAGTTAATTATTAAAACCGTGTTTTGTTAAAAATATAATTAATGATTAAATAAGATGATACGAGTACACTAAACACAAGGATATAACATATATTGTTATAGAAAATAGTAAAATATGAAAGGATTGGATATCTTCGAGTTCTTGTTATGGATTCATAAACACATTTACTTAAAATTTTGGATTGTCTGGGACCAGTGTTTAAATTTGTTGTATAGTTTATTTATGAATATTAACTTTTTGTACTTTTCTTTGAAGAATCCATAATAAAAAAAAAAGAAAAACATCATAATATTTTTTGTTAATTAGAATCCATTTTTTAACTCGTTATAAGAAATGTTTGCATTTGCTAGGTCCAAACTCAAATTGAATTATAAAAATGTGTATAATAATGGGTAAATATATCAAATTATAAAAAAAAAATTGAAGCTTACAAAATTTTCCAGGTGAGACCTTAGTATAATTCAAAATTAAATTATTTTGTTAATAATATTTATAACAATTGAGCATGGTGTGATACACATTTTGTAACTGTTTTTTACGCATTTTCTTATAATTTCACATTGAGAACTACTTTATTAGAACTGTTTTTATAATTGCTTTAACTAGTTTTTTATTACCGTAAAAAGTTGGATAATTCCACTATTCATTGTATAAAACAAGTCAAAATGTAAAAAATAACTACTTCAATAATTCAATAAATTATTTAAGAATTAAAATCCAATTATACTAGACATTTTCATACAATTAATAATTAACGTAATTTTACACGCACGTTAACAAAAACGTTAATTTATAGCACTGACTAAATAATTAATAATAAAATATTAACTTAAAATTAAAACTATATAACTTTTAAAGAAACAACTCCTTCAGTGTTTTTGGAAAGAAAATCTTGTTAAATTGTCCTATTAATTATAAATCTTAAATGAGTAAACAATTATTAAAAAATATTTATCTATATAAAATGTTCACTTGAATTTTAATTTGTAATCACTCTTAAAATCAACAATAAACAAACTAGTCGTGATTGAATAGTGTTGGCTTTTACCATTACTCTTCAAATAAAAAAAAAATCATTATACGTAGAAATAAAATATTATTAAAATAGATATAAAAATATTGGTTAATTCAATTTTTTAATACCCCAATTTATAATATCAAATATCTTATTAATATTTTATGCATTTGTCCTTTTAGAATTAGGTAAACATCATAATAAAAACCATATTTTCAATTTTCATGTTCTAGGATACGATCATCCCAACTTAATGGAAACAATTTTGACATGACTTTAAAGTAATGATTACAAAATTTAATATGTAATAATTAGAAGTTGAATGATAATATAAAACCAGTTTACACAGCCATTTTCAAGTATAATTTTTGTACATCATACATTCATTTTAATTAAATTTAAAAACATTTCATAAGAGTATTGTGATTAACAATTAATAATATTATTAGTTTTAGCTGTGTAATAAATGTTGTAGAAAATTATAACTATTACACAAACAAAACTTGTCTTTTTCAGAAATTTCAATTACTTAGTTGATTTGACGTAATGAGAAAAGGTGAAAGGTCGCCACTTTTCAAGTTTTGAACTGTGTCCCTATCCCGCCCGCTCTCACTGACGCTCCTCTGCATATAATATATCAACCATTCTCATTCTCCTTCGACCACAATGCTTTTTTCTTCAACACTCACTTCCCATTCAAAGGTAACAAACCTTGTATCATTTATTTATAATTATTTCTCTCTTTCTTCAATCTATACTATGTTTATGAGTATATTGTTCTTTTGAGGTTTTTATTCCAGTCTGTTAAGGATGTTCTGTCTCACCACATGGATCTTGGTTCCAGCTGCATTACTTTGTTAAATTTACGTAAATTTGATTACTTTTTTCCTTTGGGGGAGATTTTAAGCATGTGGGTGTTTATCTGATAATTTTTCGGATTTGAGTCGAGTGAAATACTAAAGAGAATGAAGATGATGAGGGATTTTGTTTTTGATCGCGTGTTGTTTGAAAATTGTTTTCAGTGGTTACTTTTGTATTTGTGTCAGGGTTGAGTGAATGTGTTCATACACCTTTTCTCAACAACTTGTCAGCATCAGCATTTTTCATTCAACGCTGAAGAAAATTGTGTCACGAGAAAGAATAAATATTAAGACAAAAAGATCTGGGGCATACCTTGTGGGAATTTCTCGGCTTTGACTTGTGGCTTAGCAGGGGAGTGTAGTCATAGTGGAACAATTACCATTTCACAATATTTTGTGGTTTTAAACAAAATCAAGTCAAAGATTAAGCCTTTTGTTGTGCTTCATGTTATAACATTAGGCTATTCTTATGTACTTTTTTTAAATGTTGGTATTATCTGACGAAGGGATGTTAAATGGGTGTTTGAAGAGCAGGTATGAGCTAGATTTTCATTTGAGACAATTGGGTTGCTCTTCTTCTAGGCACAAGCAATGGATAAAGTAGATAAAGCGTGTGCCAAAGATGAAGAACGTCCAATCCGTATCACCAGAGCAAAGACTAGAGCTATGAGAGGAATTCCTCCTCCCCCCTCAAGACCTTCCTCTGGAAATGAACAGAAAAACATGTCTCGAGCAAATTCCAAAAGAGCAGCCGCTTCTGGAGATCAAACTTCTGTGGTTGTTCCTGCTCTTATCCAAAATAAGAGAAGGGCAGTTCTGACAGATGTAACAAATATACATGATAAGTGTACTAATGCATCAAAATTTATGGTAAGCATGCACCACTCGCTTTGTCATCAAAGATAGAGCTCAAATCATGAATATTTTACAACTGTAGTGATATGGGAAGTAAAGATTTGTTTCTGTTGAATTATTCTCCTTAGAAAGAATAGAAACATTTGATCCAGTATCGTTTATTTGCTCATGACAAAATAATATTTATAATTCTATTAAGTTGTAAGTTCATCTACACGAAAGTATGAAAATCATTTATGTTATGTTGGTGATGCTGGTTGACCATCTATTGTGTAGGCCAAAGGAGTTTATACAAAGAAAAGCACAAAACTAGCTTCAGGTATTACCTCTGAATTCTCATCAACACAAGAGAATGTTAGAGCAAAGTTAGTTGAAGATTTATCAACAATAAGGATGGTAGAATCCGATGACTCCATAAGTGAACGTGTTATACCAGGCACCAAGCCGTCAATGCAAGATTCTGTGAAGTCCGATGAAGTCCAGAGCTCTTCAAAAAATGGTATTTCCAAAATCTCAAGCGTTACTGCCCGTATGCAACAGACTTTAGGTGTGTAATAAGACAGACTAAATCTCTAAGTGTACGAATGGACTTTTTTATAACTCTGATTGAACATACCAAGGACTTAATTTACTGTATACATAGGTTACTATTTGAACTGCATTTCTTATCCTTACAGTTGGAGAATGGAAACAATAGTATTTTTATATAAAGAATTTTCTACTTCAAAGAGTTACAGTGTTATTTTACATGATTGCTCGTTTGATATTGAATAAAAATAGTTATCTAAGTTAGGATCCTGTAATTATTGTTTTTTTCTCTTGTTGGATTATACAGATGTAGATGTGATTTCTGAGAAGTCAGGAACCTCAAACTCCCTTGATATAGTGGACATTGATTCAGAGTTAAGGGATCCTCAAATTTGGAGTTCTTATGCCTCTGACATGTACAACAACATTCGAGTCTCAGAGGTTTGTGATGTAGTGATGTAATTGCTTTTTTTCTGATGGGTTGCCACTATTAGTTAATGTAACTAACTGGTGACAACTTCAGTAGCTTCTGTTAAACAATATTATGAATGGTTATATAAGCATAAGCTGCTGCTTTCGCTATTGTCCCAGTCTGACTGCATTATAATACTGTTTTCCCAGAATACATCCACTGTTACCAAGTATTATTGGATAGCACTTAGTAAAATAATATTATTATTATAACTAATATTGGTTGATAAAAGAACTTTACAAAGTAACACTCTTATAATGCTAAGAGAAGAATACTTTGACCACAACAAAATTGACAGTGAGTTTTGGTGGATGACTTCAGCTTGAAAGGAAACCATTGACCAACTACATGGAGAAGTTGCAGACAGATATTAATCCAAGCATGCGTGGAATTCTGGTAGATTGGCTTGTGGAGGTTAGTTTCATGGTTGCAGCATTATGTAGATTTGTAAACTTGAGTACATACGATGGATTTTATCTACTGCATTTCAATCCAAATGTGGTGAATTATAGGACTTTGGGAATAAGATGAATATCTACATTTCATCATCATGCTCCTGAAATACACAATCTGTAATTTTATTATTATCTCATTTCAGGTTTCTGAGGAATACAGATTGGTTCCAGATGCCCTTTACCTGACAGTGAACCTCATTGATCGGTATCTATCAACTAAATTCATTCAGAAGCAAAGACTACAGTTGCTGGGTGTTACTAGCATGCTAATTGCATCGTAAGTACCGAAATTTGTAATGGTTCTGGTTAATATTGAAGTTTCCAAGCTCAAACTGATACATACATATTCATGCTTCTCCTTAAATTGATAAAACTGAGATGCCTTAAAAAGTACAATGTCAGTATTTACTGGTTTTTTACAGTGTAATTTATTCTCATTATTCTCTCTATAGTTTGGCTAACATACTGGTAATGATTATTTGTTTAGACATTCATAAATACATAATGAAGCTCTAATATTATTCATGCAACACTTGATTCTGGTTGAGTGTACTTGGAGATGCTGATAAGTATAATAATTTATGATATCATGTCTATTGTTATTTTTTTTATATAAATAAAAAATTGATCTTAGATGTGTTTCTTTTCTTTTGTGACTTGAAGAAAGTACGAAGAGATGTGCCCACCTCGAGTGGAAGAATTCTGCTTCATCACAGATAACACATACACAAAGGAAGAGGTACTGTATTTGGTAGCACGGCTTGAATCTTTCATCTTTTTTTCTTTATTGTGTAGTGTTCGTGATGATTGATTTATACAACACTTGGCTTTATCTGACAGGTACTGAAAATGGAGAGAGAAGTACTGAATGTGATTCATTTTCAGTTATCTGTTCCCACAATCAAAACATTTCTGAGGTATGTGTGCAGTATTTACATTTACATAGGAATACACATGGTTTTAAAGTAGCCCGCTATAGTGGCATTCTTGTAGTAGTCATATCAAATCAAATAGTAGAATTAACTTAATAGCGATTCATTTGTTGATTCCAAAGAAAGAAAACAGAGGCATTAAGATTTTCTTGAGAGTTATTTTTGGGATTTCAATTTTAAAAAATGAAGATTACGGTAGTGAATGATATAGAGAAAGACTTGAACTGACAAAACTGAAAGATAATTGATGATTCCTAAAATGCTTGCATTTTACTTTGTGTTTATTTGTATGTTTCGTTAAAGGTACCTGTAACTTTTTATTTTTAAATAATGAATATTATTAATTTTGAGTATTTTTTTTATCATTTCTTAAGAAAAAATTAAGATCGTATGACTTTTTAATTTTTTTCATAAGAATTAAAGTAGAAATGTTTAATTGAAATCATTAGTCTTTAGCCACATGACCAATTAAAGTCATGTGCAATTATCTTATCCTCTTAGTAATTCAAGTATGGTATATCTTACTGTAATAACAATTTTCTCTTGAGATGCTTCATCAATCCATTTTTTGTTGGAAAACCTCCCTTGGCTGAATTATGACTATCTTTTCTTGGTTTTCAGGAGATACATCCAAGCAGCACAATCTTCTTACAAGGTACTAGAGTTGTTATACACTATTTATCCACAATTTATTAAACATTGAAAAGGTCATGAACTGGTGATTTCGTTCTATTATACAGGCTCCTTGTGTTGAACTGGAATTTTTGGCAAATTATTTAGCAGAGCTTGCTCTTGTTGAATATAGCTTCTTCCAGTTTCTTCCTTCCCTTGTAGCTGCATCTGCCGTGTTCCTTGCCAGATGGACCCTGAACGATTCAGAACATCCATGGGTATGAACTCTTGATTGCTTGGTTGCAATTTAAATATTCACCTTTGACCGTTATGTAGAAGTAAACAAATTTTAAAAGTCTCACGCATGTATTTGCAGAATCCAACTTTGGAGCACTACACAAACTACAAAGCTTCAGAGCTCAAAACTGTTGTTCTTGAACTGCAAGATTTGCAACTTAATTCCAAAGGCTGTCCCCTCAATGCTGTTCGCGATAAGTATAAACTACAGAAGGTTGGAATTCTGTACATTAATTAATTCTGTTTAGATAAACCTCACAGAAGAAAGAAAAGTAGTTAAAATGAAATCAACTTGTGTATTTTCAATTTTGAAGAAGTTCAATCAAATTTATTTGAACTTACAAGAAAATTTCAAATCATTTTAATAGTTTACTTTATTCTCTGTAAATATTTTCGGAAAATCTCAACCACTCTTCTTTCAGTTGACTAAACTTTTTAACCCCACTTCTCAGCCTCACCAAAATTGCTAAAGATCACGAGACATAATATTATTGTACTCATTTTCCAGGCACCTTTTTTGTCATTGTCAAATATGTCCTGTATGGAATATATCTTCATGGGTATGTTGTAAATACCATTTGTTGAAGTTGTAGCAGTGTTAGAATTAATTTTACGTAGGGATCAAAACGAAAAAGATATGTTTACTGAGTAGATCAAAACATGGATTTTTTTTCTATATGTTGTGAATAAATTAATTCTAAAATTTTCCAAGTAACAACTGAAAAAAAAAATGTATAAAGTATAGCTTTGGTAATGGCAGGACCAATTTATAGTCTTCATCTGTATTACTTAATCCATGTCAAGTTACATAATTATTTGGAAAATGGAGTGTTTAAGGGGTTCATATTCTGTATTTTACCTTTTTATTGTTCCCCGTTTGAACAGGCAAAATAATATGCACGTCCTTATCGTTGCTGAAAAAAGTTGTTGAGATAATTAAATAACAGTGACTTTTGTTTCTTGTGACAGTTCAATTGTGTGGCAAACTTGTCCCCAAAACCGGTGCAGTCACTCTTCCAGGGCCAAGTGTAAATGTTTTTGGCTGTTCCCTAAAGACTAATGGATGACTTCACAGTTTGTGGCAGTGATGCTTGATAATCATCATCAGTTGCATATATTTTACCATTCTTTTTTGTCATCAATCACCCACTTGCTGTCTGTTCCGTAATTGTTACATGTTTAAGGTGGTCAGATTTCTTTGTTAAACAATTTTTGCCGATGATACAGTTCAAAGAGTGAGTTGATGTACTAACACCAAGTAGGCTTCATTTTAAGGTTGTCATGATGCAACAAAGCCCTATAGTTGGTCTCAATATTTTGTACCGAAACAAACATTTATGTATGTAATGCAAATTAAATTACATACAATTTATTTTCTATTTATAAATCGTACAACATTAGCTTTATTGTAATTATTATCTGACTTCATCCACATTGAGTCTCTTAAACCATGCACTTGCTTTATATTTTAATCTTTTAAGTATTGAAATTTGGACAAATTGTTGAAAACACGTTTCAGGAATTGAGACCCCCCTTATTCCAGTGTAGGTCCATAAAAAAGAATATACTGGACCCAAGTAGCCACTGTAATGTAAGTCCTGCTTTTGCTTTTAACGCCAAAGAAAAAGAAGCTTTTCGCTGGTAGGGTTGCAAAATTCATAATTTTCTCTTCGTGAATACTGATCCAACAAGTGTGGTCGCTGGTTAATTTCTTTTCAAAATTGCAAATGTAGTTTGACTGAAATTACGACCGACTTTTATTCTGAATAACTAATGGCTTCAGTCAAACTTTATTTTCAATGATCTTCGAGCAATTTTGATGTTTTCTGCTGTACTTATTGTCTGGTAATTAACATTATAAATTAAGCCTTTTTTTATTAAAGAAATGAAATCAGAAACAATAACCATGTCATTATTATAAAAGCGTGTATTCAAGAAACTTTAGATTTATAAAAGTTTTCATCAGAAGAACCAGACAAGACAAGTGAATGATTGAAATGTCGCACTTTATGGAAATACTGTTTTCTACTTTTCAATTTGAAGCAAGAACATTAGAAAAACTAACATATTTTAATTTATATTATTCCCATGTGCAGATTCCATCTCCATTTTAGTATCTTCTTCCTAGTGCACAAAAAATTGTTACATCACCGTGACATTGGAACACAAGTCTTAAATACTAACGAGGTGGAACCTTAATCAAATGTATATAATTCATTAGTTTATTAACATATCTTAATATGCAATGCCTGTATGGAAATTACTGGTGATTAAGGAGAAAGGCTCAGAAGCACAGCAGATTTTGGAAATAGGCTTATACAGAAAATGGTTTGATCCACTGCATAGTCCTTCACATCACTTATCAGAAGGAGGCAGATAAATTACTACCATACAGTGGCAATCAAAAGCATGTTACGAGGTACAACATCTGGCTGCTATAAGCATCAAATGCATGTAGGAACCTTAAAGATAACAGCCATTTACCACTTTTCTAGCGGTTTTCCACCGTATCAGGATGAAAGGGATTGGGATTGAGTTTCTGACATAGATACATTCATACATAAGTTACAGGTTATCAAATTGGAGACACTAAAACTGCGGTATTTCCAATCACAGGCTGGAGACTGGCTGCATGTTCTAGTTGTTTCCATGCTTCCTTCCGCTTCTCTTCTGCTGCGTTTAGCATTGCTTCTTCTTCCTTAAACTGAGAATGACAAGCCAGGAATAGCTTCTCATCCATCTCTGCAAACATTTTTCTAACATTATGAGTTAGGTTGAGCACTGCTTGGCTCCAGTGGCCTTGAGAATTCTTCTCTAAGGCTGGAAACATGATTGGCAGGATCACTTGTCGGTTGTGAGCAATCAAATTGACAATATGATCGTTGTTCCATAAGAAAAGGGCTCTTTCAGCTACCTGAAACAAGTCATGTTGAACAGAAAAGGGTTATGTTTCAGCAGTTAAGAAAAACGTCACAGGAAACAAAGTGATTCTCAGAAGATACAAAAACAAATGAAGATGGAGAGGAATTGCAGCAATTAGATCCGTTGCCAGTCCCTATATTGAAAAGACAAGAAAGTTGCCAAACATACTTTAAGAAAACATGGACAGCTCTAATCAAACAAGAATGAATACAAACTACTTCAGTTTCACATCCTATAAAGTGACCTCTAAAACAAAATTAATGCAATCAACTCAATAATAACCTTGGCAGAAAAATCTCCCAACAAAGTTTGCAGTACGTTTTGAACTTTGAACCTGAAGCTAAGCATTGTTATTATTAGTCTCTACTCTATGATGTACATATTCCTGAATCAATCCCATTAAGGATGGATCAACCAGACTCTGAAGCCTGTTGAGTAGCTTATACTAAAAGCCAGGCAGTGAAACAATGTGTCCTTTGATTCAGACAGGATTTCTGTGTCATCACAAAGCAAATGGGTACATACTCCAATCCCCCATTGTTCTTTCCAACACAGCAAAAATGACACTGATGCGTGAGTCTGTATTAGCTGGGTGTGAAACGCATCCCTATATTATAGCAAGGGTTCTACTCCACATCTTGTAGAGACTATAAAGAAGTATTTGCTAATGTTCTTAGCCAGAATAGATAGCACCATGCAAACTATAGTTGAAAGTCATAGATTTCATTCCTATATAAAAGCATGAAAATAACTAAATTAGCTAAAAAGTGAATAAAAATCGTACCTGAAAGTGCATACTGTTAATGCAGCATCCCATCCGCCAAAACAACGGTACCATGACCCTCTGGAACTCTACCATGTTAATTGTTTCCAAAATTTCTTCTAGTTCACCCAGGAACATCACCTCTTTCTGACTATTCGTTATCGGCCAATACTTCAACAACCCCCTGATGACAATGCTCCCCAACTTAGGCTCCTTCTCGACAAACTGTGTAACGCAGTAAGACAACTGCTGGAAGTATACCCCCATAGATTTGGGCTTGTGCAAGGGGATCAGAACCCTCCACAAGAAGATCTTATGCTCCTCCTTCAATGGCAATGCGAACCCACTAATTATGCTCCCAAAAATCTCCAACAACTCAGCAATCCCGTTGTGCCTCTCAGTCTCAAACACAAACTTAAAAAACACGTTGTTAATGGACTTCCTTATGTAGGGTCTATGCACCATGAACTTGCCATAAACCCTATGCATAATGGTCTTCAAGCAGTCCCTCTCCCTAGGATCTTCCGAATCAAACAACTCCAACAATCTCAAGATAAAAGAATGGTCGATGTACTTCTTGGCCACCTTAGCATCAAGACAGTTAGAGGTTATAAACTTGAGCAGCAACTCATACACGAGCTGCAAATGAGGCCATGCGGGATCAAAGGATGGCTCATCATCATCATTCTCACCACCACGATTGGACCTATAATTTGGCGGGAAAATGCGAAAGAGATTAATAGCACACATTCTACACACAGCAAGAATAGCAGGTTCACCGAACCTCGTGGACCCACAAGAGGAAACAAAATCAACAAGTTCAACAAGGGTTCTTCTCTTCACCTCTTTCTCCACCGTGTCCTTACCAGGGTCCGTGAAATCAAAGGACACGCAACACAGGCTCAGCTTGCTCACGAAAAGGTTCATCTTTTCCGAACTGGGGACATCTTTGAAAGGCACCAGAGGTTCTATCACCGACACCGTGCTCGCCGGAAAAACTGCGGACGAGGATGTCCGTTTCGCAGCATTCGAAGCGGCGGCGACGCCGTGCGTGCGATTGTGTCTGCCGGCGGCGCGTGGGGAATCGTCCGAGCGTGATGGGTCGGCTCGGTATGACTCGTCCGAGTCGGATTTTGGTGTCTTGCGGGGGAGTCTGCTGAGGAATTGCTTCAGCATGGCGACCCGGAAGGTGAAAACTGTAAATTTGGAAACTTTAGACGAAACCCATTAAAGAAGACAAATCAATGTAGCGCGAAAATCAATGAGTTCTTCTTGAGGGGAAGAATGAGGGAGAAACATACGGTGAAACCCTAGATCTCGGTCAAGGAAAGTAGGAGAAATTACAAACAATGTGAGACGGGTTGCATGAAATTGAGAAGAAAAATTCAAAAGGGTCCAGAAAAAATTTGCTATTTAGCTGCATGCATTGAAGAAAAATCAAATCTTGAAGATTGTGAAAGAGAGAGATGTTAAGGAATGCAAATGAAATTCATCTTCCAAAAAAGGGTGAGGAATAATTAACGATTTATCATTAGAAACTCGGCGTATGGGATCTTCTTTTTCTCGGGAATGTGAGAAAGAAAGAAAGAAAGAAAATTTGTAAAATGCTGAATGGGGAAAAGAGGGGGTTCTAATTTCTCTCTAGGGCACAAATGGTTAGAGAGAATGTGGAGAAGATGCAGATCACGAAGTTTTGTTACATGAACTTTTTAGATAATGAAATCCTCTCACTGTTTCTTCTTATTCTGTTGTTGAATAATGTGATCCACCGTCATGGAACTCGGAAATTAACAAGAAAACTACAGGTAATGGTTGGTTTTAACTTCTTTTCTCTTGTTTAGGGGCCTTTAATCAAATCATCAAACAGTAGTGGCACTTCTTCTAATATTCTATAATTCTAATCACTTTATGTATTTAATTTAATCTATAAGTTTAGTTATTTTGTTAGGGTTTGAAGGAGGAAAAAAAAAATCAGAAACTTGAATAGGATTTGGACACCAACACGTGTAACTGTGTCTATGTAAGGAAAAGGTAAAAAAGCCTGTAAAACTAGGGACTTGACATGGTTTCTTGCAGACGAGAAAATTACAGAAAGGCATTTGTTTGGATATTATGGTTCTAATAATAGCAAATCATGATTATTGATGTAAATCTTGTTTTATAAACTCTTTCTAACTCATATATGTTTATCTACTCAAATTTTAGTCTATTTGATTTTTTTTTTTAATCTGACATGTAAATCAAATAAGTTTTCATCTCAAAACTGATATATATATATATATATATATATATATATATATATATATATATGAATTCATTTTAAGTTTACATTCATTTAATTAAGTTTGAGAGAATTAAGAGATAAATTATCTCCTTATTTTTGTGATTAAAACAAAAGTAATTTTAGCTATATGTCATCTGTTAAAGTGATGATTACATCTAATTTGAGTGAAAGAAAAGTAAATTTGAGTGTCTAAATCTATGAAAGTATACGCATGAATGATTATCTTTGTTAACAATTATTTCACTTACTGATGTTGTTTCTGATTAGCTTTTAAGTTTTATCTCTTAAATATATACATTTATTTAACAAATTATTCGTTCTTTACACCAAATCATATGAATTATTCTAGGTAATTTCCTAAGTTATCTAAATACTTATAACTACCTCCTAATGTTATGATTAGTGATTTTTAAG